GTTTGGGATGAGCTGCTTCTCTGGGCTAAAATTTTGTGTATGGGCTAAAGTGCAAACACTCTTCACGGACTAGACACTCAGGTAAGAATCTGCTCATTGGTTCCTTCTTGAAGAGTAAGTTTTGCACGAATGACGGGTAGAGTGTGAGGGTGGGAAGCTCTGCACACCCTGCAGAAAGGGGCACAGCTGGCAGGGGAAGCCCGCCCTCACGCGTCCTCCAGGTGCCTTCCTAGGACTTGAAGCTGACTCTGGGATCCTACAAGGAGCTCCTCCGGAACCTCATTAAGATGGAGAAGGATGTTTGAGGTTCAAGCCACAACTTGATTCTTTTCTACCAGAACACTCTTGAGGAGTCAGGTACAAGCCGCAGAAACAGGAAGCAAGGAGAGGAGGGCGGGGAAATGGAAAGAGAAGAAAGGAGTGTGATTTTAACGCCACCCTGGGACTTCAGAGGCATGGGGGCCTCCCACTTGACCGTGATTGTTCAGTCAGTCTGGAAGCCTCCCCAGAGCCCGCACTCTGCATCAGGTGCTGTACAAGACTATAGAAATTCAAACAGCCAGGCAGGGCCACACAGGGCCTCACCAGCACCAGCATTTCCAAGTTCATTTTCATGTCAAGTTTCACCTGACCCATGTTGAGGAGCTTCTCTGTTGCCCAAAGGGGAAGAATATGAGTTTGGGGAAAGTTTTCTATACACACACGTATATATGTATTCATATGTGTGTATGTATGTGCTCATATATACAAAGTAGGTTTATATAGAAATAGGTGACACACATGTGCGTGCACAGAGACACCTGCATTTGGGCCAAGAAAAGCTGCCCAGAAGTGAGAGGGTATCACAAGGCTGTTTAAATAAAGACCAAGAGCTGATGGACGGTGGTGTGATGACCTGAGTTAGGATTCCCAACTCCATAAACTGCTCCTGAGTCCACACACGGGGGCTCCCCAACCCTTTCACCTTGTTTCTAAGGGATCTACCAAGGGTGGCATCTGTGAAGGGAGTGGCAATCACCAAGAGGCGCCCTCCTGAAGTCCATCCATTATGAGATCTGCACAACTGCACGCATGCTCTCCCTGCAGGCAGCCGGGTGCCAGCACGGCGGTCAGGAACCAGTAACCAGCATCTTCACAGGACTGCCCCCCAGAAGCCTGAACTTCTCAGTCCCTCCTGTGCATGGCTGGCTCTTCCCTGCCTCCCTCTTTACCCTCAAGGGCTCACCCCACCTCCATATCTCACCAACGGAGCCCTAAGCCCAGCCACATGCCACCATCTCCAGCGCCAAAGCATATGTCCACCCGCTCACGCAGCCTGGCACGCTCTGCCACGCCTACTGTTCAGAAGTCTGCCTCGGTGCCTCGAGGGCAGGGCTTCTTGAGTCTCTGAATTACCCACAGAATCTGTGTTCCACTAAGAACACAACTGTTGCTAGGTCCAGGGCTGAGGTTCCCAAACCAATGGACAGATGACGCCCGCTGCTTGCTGGCACAGCATGGATGATTTTGCCATCCCCAGTCCTAGGAACATCTCCTGCCTCCCGGGAGTGGCTCTGGCTTAGAAGATGGTCATCACAAGCATTCACTGGCTGTTTAACATGTGCAGGTGCAGCACCCAGTTTTTCAACACACCCAGCACTACTGAGGTGGAGAGCGTGAGGCTCCCTGAAGGAGGTGACGGAAGCTCCTAACTGGCCCAGGATCCCACGCCTGGAACCAGGTCTGAATGGTCCAGACACCCCAGTGGCTGCCTCACCTCCGGAGCAGCAGACACGTGCCCTCTCACAGCAGGCGTTAGGGAGTGCTCCCTCCCCTGGCTGAATTCCGCCACCCAACCCCTGGCCCTAGCTGTGCCTTTTGCAGACCCAGAATGAGTCTCACCCTCCTTCAGGAGACAGCTCTTCAAATCTGTGAAGACAGGAAGATCATGTCCCTGCTAAGACTTCCTCTCTCCAGCCCAAGCACACCCAGGACCAGCAGGGCAGCTTCATTTAAATAACAAATTTGCCAGTGCATTTAAATACAATTCGAGTTATTCAAATTCAATTTACACACAGAATTTTAGGAATACATTAGATAAGGGGCTGCTGATTAAAATAGTAGGGTGACCCTTAATGACATTACTGGATCCTACCCTACACCTGCCTCAAATTGACATTTAAATAAAAATGAGTCAAATTCCTGGGTCAGGTTAGCAGCTCTCCCGCATTACACGCATTTGTTTTGCCAAATCAATAACAACACGAGCACGGTGCACAAGCAGCTGCTCACTACAGCTAGGGTTACCATCAACACTGTCACATCGGGGCTCTCTGCAAAGCAGCCCCCAAACCAGCCACCACTATCATTCCCTATTTTCTTTACAGTCAGTGCCATTTCGGTTCTGAGGTCAAGTCACATGTACTTTCTTTGGACTGGCTTTATTCTTTTGCTCCTACGATGTATGTCCTAATCACCAAGAAAATATAACTGGTGGCTGGGTGCGGTGGCTCACACCTGTATTCCCAGCACTTTGGGAGGCAGAGGCAGGCGGATCACCTGAGGTCAGGAGATCGAGACCAGTCTGGCCAACATGGTGAAACCCCATCTCTACTAAAAAATACAAAAATTGGCCAGGCGTGGTAGTGGGCACCTGTAATCGCAGCTACTGGGGAGGCTGAGGCAGGAGAACTGCTTGAACCCAGGAGACAAAGGTTGCAGTGAGCCGACACGGTGCCACTGCACTTCAGCCTGGGCGACAGAGTGAGACTCTGTCTTAAAAAAAAAAAAAAAGAAAAGAAAATATAACTGATGATTTACAGAAAATTGATTCCCTCATTTTTAAGTGGAGGTTTAATTTAGCATAACCCTGTATATTGGGAACCTGAGACTATTTTTAATGTCTTACCCTATCTCTCAAAAAAAAAAAAAAATGACATACACCTCTTAGTGAGTCTATTCTAGAAACTACTAGGGAAAAACCACCTATCAATTGCCAGTTTACATGAAAAACAGGGAGGTTTTTCTAGGCCGATGAAATCTAATTGCTAACTATTTACACAAATAACACATAGAGCTAATGAAACAGAAGCAGAGCCTGGCATGTTTCCAGTAACTAGCCTCAACAGCCTCTTATCCAAGAGCATTCAGAAGAAAGCAAACTTTAAAATGATTTGAGAGAAAGGTCTATTTTCATGACAGATGGCAATGAGGGTTCTTCAATGCCAATTTAATCACTTTTCCTCAATTTTCAAATGTTTAAGTTGTAGCTCCAAGTGTCTGCGCAGGCAGCACTAGAGCTGCCGAACCGCAGTGGGGCCACGGGGATGACTGATGTGTGCTGCGTCTCGCCTGCCTTTGCGAGTCATTTTAGGGCAATCCTACCCAACTCAGGAAAGTAATGCTGTTCAATAGATACTGTCTTCTGACATCAAAACAGTTCTGTTCTTGTGGGCGCCATTTTTATGTCATGCAGAGGCTGTTCTCAACTGGAAGCAGACTTCATCTCTTTTTGATCCAATAACCTTAACAACCAAGTCTGTCTATGGAGAAATGACAGAAAAACAGTTGCTAAATTTTTAAGCAGGGACTTTGGACAATTTTGTACCATTCTTTTTTTTTTTTTTTTTGAGACGGAGTCTCGCTGTGCTCCCAGGCTGGAGTGCAGCGGCGTGATCTCGGCTCACCGCAAGCTCCGCCTCCCGGGTTCACGCCATTCTCCCGCCTCAGCCTCCCAAGTAGCTGAGACTACAGGCGCCCGCCACCACGCCCGGCTAGTTTTTTGTATTTTTAGTAGAGACGGGGTTTCACCGTGTTAGCCAGGATAGTCTCGCTCTCCTGACCTCGTGATCCACCCGCCTCGGCCTCCCAAAGTGCTGGGATTACAGGCTTGAGCCACCGCGCCCGGCCTTCTTTTCACAAGTAAATGAAGAAACTGGGCGCCAGGAACCAAAGTCACAACACCCATTGAAGGTGGCGCTGGAACAGGAGCTTGGGATCCCGACTCCAGTCTGGCGCTATCCCAGCTCCACGGGAACTCAAACTTTGCCGGGGAATAGTCTGAAAACCCAGCTGTCTCATTATGTTATTTTATGTTTGAATTGTATATATGTTTTCAAAAAATATTTATTATTAGGCTTGAAAACTTTTAATCCTATAAGAAGATAATTCTATGGACAAATTTGTCATCAAAGTTCTAGAAGGCTGTGGGGCTTCTAGAGTAGAAACCTCAAGTACTACAATGCTATTGCCTTTTAGAAATTAACACTAAGCTTTACAGACTATTTAATACTTTTGGTAAGGTATCTCAGGTGTAAGGATGATACGACAGGTGGCGATCACATGCTTCCTCCTGGTACACATCAACAACCGAGGAAAGGTACAGGCGTCAACGCCAGGAAATGTCCCAGTCTCACACAGACATGAAGCTTGCCTCCAGCACCCAGTCCAGCAGGTAAACTAACCTGCTGAGCAACCCAGGCAACGCCTCAAAGAGTTACATTTATCTCAGCTGTCAGGGGGGATGAGGCAATTGATCTGCAGAACTACGTCTTCCCCCAAGAGAAACTCCCAGAGCATCCTTAAGATGACCTGTGTTGCAGCAGCATTTATCAAACAGCTGGGGGAATAATTCACATTTTCAAAATCAGCGGTGTACTTAGGACATCAGAGACAATGTGAAAATTTGTGGTGAAGGAAAACTGGTATCAGTAAACCTGAAAACTGGTGGCTTTCTGGAGACAGATCCCTCTCCCACCCCAAGGACATGGTCCCAGCCTTTCACTTCCCCTAAATTCTAAATATTCCTTTTCTTATGTTCCTGCTGCCTGCGCAGATGGGCAGGCTGATGAGGGGGGCTCCTGCAGGCCTCTGGGCCCCACAGCTGTGCCTCAGTAGCCCCCAGGTTAGCACAGCCCAGGGCATGAGGTCAAGGTTCAAACAATGTTTGGGCAATAAGATGGTTTGTGTAAAAGCTAAACTCAAAAGGCCTGTCCCACTCCAAAAAAAGGAATAGACAAAAATATTAATCATGTTTTTTCTTTTAATAAGGGTTTTTACTCAAAAGTGTAGCTTTGAAAATCTCTAGCTTGTTGTGAAAACCAGGAAAGCCAGGGAGCTGCCTCACACTGCACACCACCACGTGAAGCTGTGGGCCGCTGTGTGTTTGCAAACTCTCCATTACCAAGGCTGGAATCAAATGCACCACTTTAAAATCAGAGCCAACATTTAAAATTAGGAGGATGATGCATGTCCTACTTTGATTCAAGGAGAAAGGACAAGTTCTTAGTACAGTAAAACAAAACACAAAAGTAAACAAATCTTTAGAAATCACTAGATATATAGATGTGTTTTTATATATATATTTATATAATTAGGATTATCATCAACATTTCAAACTATTAAAAATAAGGTTGCCACCTTACCTTTTCTTTTGGTAATGGGGTGTTTTTTTTTTTTAAAGGAGAAAAACCAAACATTTTGCCCAGACTCTAAAGTTTCCCAACTTCCATTCTGTTTTCTGCTGTGCAGCTTCCCCACCTTCACGCTGAATCCCCGAGTCCCACCACCAGCTCTGGCTGGCAGGAGGCAGAGCAAGCTTTCATTCTGGTCGTCAAGATGACAGGCCCACAAAAGCACAGCTGAGACAGGAACTGAATTCTTCCCCAGGAAGAAAATACCTATGCTCACAACAGGTCTGCAAAATCTCCCACAGGCACCTCTTCCCCCTTTTTTGTGGCTGTTTGTTAACTGGTTTGTTTTGCCTAAAAGCAAGATGGCAATCTTAATCAAAAAGGGAAGCTAGATTTTTAAAATAACTTAAAAAAACCATTTTTATATAAAGCAGCAAAAACATATCTTCCTCTCTGCAGAAAGAAAAATGTTAACAAGGAAACACAGCGATGTGAACGGACCGTCCGTCAACTCCTGCTCCACTGGATCCCCCATCCAGCTTCACCTCGAGCTACTCCTTAACTTCAGCAGTGCTGTCTGAAGAAGATCCTTTGGCGTCTTCAACTGCTCTTTTACTTTCTTCTTGATTGAGATTTTCATTTTCGGACCTGGTCCCATTAGGGACAGAGTTTTCACCGTTTACAAGCCCGTTCTCTGTGGCCTGTGCTTTGCTGATGGCCTCTCTGATGTTCAAAGCATCCTGCACTCCAGCCTCCTCCTCGAGGTTTCTCAAGACCAGGGGGAGCCTCGAGTCCCCCACGCTGCTCTCCAACAGCCCAAGGTTGCCCTCTTCATATTTGGGAAGCGGAGCCTTTTCCTCCATCTGCTGGCGGTAGAATTCCCGGTTGACAGCTGCACTCTTTACTGCTTTTTCCAAAATCTCTTTCTCACCTAAGCGCAATTTGATGGCCATTTTTGCACGAACAGAAAGATCCTGGTTTTTCAAGACGGATTTATCTTCCTGGAAAACAAAAAAGAGCAAAATTAATTACAAGAAGTCTAAATCAGCAAAACTATAGAGACAGAGGGCACCACGGCTGTGGCTGGGGACATGAGGGAATTTTTTGGGGTGACAGGAGGTTCTAACACTTGACTGGGCAGGTGGTCACATGACCAGACACTCACATCAAAATGCATGCTTCAGAAGTGTGCCTTTTATTGTATGTAAATTATATCTCAATGAAACTGTTACAAAACCAGAAAGAAGAGCCTAAATCAAACAGTGCTACCCCATCTGTCAGGGAACTTCACTGATTTAAAACTCATCCTGTCCATCTTGGGCACTGATGTAGCCCCAGGGCAGCACGTGGGTGAATGGCAACAGTGAAGGAACGAATGAATGAGAAAGACGTATTTGAAGTTACTGACTCAACAGTGAACTTAAAAAGCACAAATGAAAACGTTTGTGAAATCATGTGAATTAGAAATTATAAAAAAAGTATTAAATACTTTAAAAAATATATCTTCTATAAACAATGCCTAAATATGATTTTTTTTGTTAAACAAATGGAAAATTTCCAAGGCAATCATTTTGCTAAACTATTAGAGTAGTTTAGAATTAACAAGAAATCTCTCATTAAACATCTCCTTCTTTTTTTTGAGATGAGTCTTGCTCTGTCACCCAGGCTGGAATGCAGTGGCGAGATCTCGGTTCACTGCAACCTCCGCCTCCTGGGTTCAAGCGATTCTGCTGCCTCAGCCTCCCGAGTAGCTGGAATTACAGACCACGCCCAGCTAATTTTTGTATTTTTAGTAGGGATGGGGTTTCACCAAGTTGGCCAGGCCTGTCTTGAATTTCTGACCTCGTGATCTGCCCTCCTCGGCCTCCCCAAGTGTTGGGATTACAGGCATGAGCCACCGCACCAAGTCTCATTAAACATCTTAACACCACAACAAAGTTCAAATCCTCATTAATTTAGTCTAATTACCTCAATAGTTGTTTTGTATGTTTTTAAAAGAAGTGAGGCTCTATCTTCAAGAAACGTCCAAAGTTTGACCTCGTTGTCCCAGCTAACAGGAAATTCCGAGTTCCCCAAGGTGAAGATTCTATCAATAGCGCTGTCTCCCAGTAAGTGTTCTTTCAGTTCTTCTACAAGAAATACAAATGGCAATGCTAGGAGGAAAACACAGCACTCCTTCTCATTTGAACAAGCAATCCACCTTAGAAAATATTGTTTCCAACAATGTCATTTTCCCACAGTAAAAGCTGTCCCTGTGCAATGGGCCAGGACACTCCTAGATTCCCCAAAGTAGAGCAGAGCTAAATTTTGGGGAGCAACACCAGGTCAGGCCTTCTTCATTTGGAATCCAGATCAAGCCTTGGTAGCACTCCCTTTTTCACTGTTTCTATGAGGGACACTGAGAGCCTTTAGACAGTTTCACAAGATACTTTTTAAAGACAGTCGACAGCCATGGACTCCCTATTTTGACAATACCCTTTTTGCTAGCCATAAGCTCAGTCACATCAACCCAGTCAAAAAGGACATTTAGGTGAACAATGTAAACAGTGAAAGGAGCTAGAGCCACAACAATCCTGTGAGCCCATAACTGTAAATATGATTGGCACTTATTCTCGTAGGTGACCTGACCAAGCTATTTAAGCCATTTTTGTAACAAGCCACAAACTGAAAGAAACAAGAGCCTCAATCAAACAGTGCTACTATCAGGAGCACTATGAAAATCTGGGTTAACGGGCTGGGCGCGGTGGCTCACGCCTGTAATCCCAGCACTTCGGGAAGCCAAGGTAGGTGGATCACTTGAGCCCAGGCGTTTGAGACCAACCTGGGCAATGTGGCGAAATCCCATCTCTACAAAAAATACAAAAATGAGGCTGGTGTGGTGGCGCACACCTGTAGTCCCAGCTACTCAAAAGGCTGAGGTGGTGGATGCCTCCAACCCAGGAGGTGGTGACTGCAGTGAGCACTGCACTCCAGCCTGGGAAACCGAGCGAGACCCTGTCTCAAAAAAAAAAAAAAAAAAAAAATCTTAGTTAATGAAAAATATGCCCATCTCTCTCACTTGTGAGGAATTTACATAGGAATTACAAATACACACAAGTGAACATCTCAATTATCTCCAAATATATTTAAGAAGAGGAAAGAATTCAGCAACTGCTCTTAGCATTTTATCTCCCGGCACATTATCTCCAAAACCAAAACAAGCCGATCCTATTCATGCTCAAGAAACAGACCCATGCTTCTTATGCGATTAGGAGACAGTGTCTCTTTCAGAGCAAAATGCCTCACAGCTGTCACTATTTACAATTCAAACTGAAGAACTGCTGCCAGCAAACCAAACTTTTATTAGTATTAGTTAGAGTAATTCAAAGATCCAGCAATTGTCTTGACATGACAAATTGTCTATGACTAGAGAGAAACTAAAGAGAATCAACAGACCTAAAAGGATTCCAGCAGTTTTAAGAAAACAGGCTATCTAATGTTCAAAAAAGAAGTTTATTAACTTGTATTTGTTAGTAAAGATCATGATGAAATTCAAGATTTTTAGTTTTGAGTCTTCATTTTATATTCTTTGTATACAACACGGAAGTTCTGGCTTTTTTTAAGCTTTCTTAGTGGTTGAAAGTTCTTTTCAAAGGCCCCCAATATGAAGGTTACTGTTTCCTTCCTTCATCTCCTCTCTCAATCTGCCCAAGTTGCACTCTGCAACGATGGAAGCTGCAGGTGTGCAGCAGAGCTTTCTCTCCACTCATTTTTTAAAAGTGAAACTGGACTCATTTCACATTCCTGGAGAAATAAAGCCTACAAAAGGGGGAGTAAGACAATGTAGCATGTGGCCTGCCTGGAGAGCAGGAGCTGACCGGGAGCTCCTGCAGCAAGAACCCTCCTGAGCTTGCCTCCAGCACACAGGGCCTGCAAATTATCCCTGCCCCTCATTCTGGCCACCATGGTGTATGCTCACTCCAGAGAGTAAAGAGCCCAGTGCCCTCCACCCTCTCCCTGGCTCCTGCTCAAGCTCCTCCCTCTGCTAAAGGTCTTCAGCCACACCCCTCACCTCCTGCTCTACCATGTCCGAACCATCACTGAGCTCCAGGGTTTAACTCAAATGTCTTCCTCCAGACCCCTAGAGTACTAACACTTTTTTCCATGTACTATGTTATTCTTGAACCAGTAGGAGCAACGTGGGATGTCCTGCGCATGGGCTCTGGAGTTAACAGAGCTGGGTTCTAAGTCAGGGTCATTACTTGCTTACTGAGCAACCTTGGCCAAGTTACTTATCCTCTGGGTTTTTTGTTTGTTTGTTTTTAGACAGGGTCTTGCTCTGTTGCCCAGGCTGGGGTGCAGTGGCAAGATCACGGCTCACTGTAGCCTCAAGCTTCCAGGCTCAATCAATCCTCCCACTTCCCAAAGTGCTGGGATTACAGCCATGAGCCACAGCATTCAGCCAACTTTATTCTCTTTTTTTTTCCCCCCAGCCGGGTCTTACTCAGCCTTTACCTCCCAGGCTCAAACAATCCTCCTACCTCAGCCTCCTGAGTAGCTGGGACTAGAGGCTTGTGCTACCACGCCCAGCTAATACTTATCCTCTTTGAAGTGGAATCTCTATATCAGTAAAATGGGAACACTTATCAATCAAGGCTGATGGGATTAAAATTAAGCATGTACCACATTTAGCATCATACCTGGCACACAGTGAATGCTTCACAAATTCTAGGAATATCATCACCATCACCTCTCTTAATTATAAATTCCTTGAGTATATGAACTGCAACATTTAATTTTGTATCCACATATAAGCAAGAAAAGCTCACAGTTAACTCCTTAACTCGTGTTCATTAAATTGAATTGATGAACCATTACCAAGGTACAAAAAGCACCAAAACTCCCACTTGAATAACTATAAATCTAGGCCATAGGGTTGCTTATAAGGAACAACGACTGTATCTCAGTTTGGGTTCTGCGGTTGGTGTGTGAACTGCCTCTCTCTGTTTTGGAACTAGGTTTTTTCTGCCTCCAGCGTGACGTCAAGCCCTCGACTTGTGCAGCACTGCTCCCTGGATCCAGACATTAAAACCAAAGCCAGTGACCGCTGAGCACAGCAGCTTCCCCTGCATGGGCCACGACTGCTTCCTCCGACCAAGGAAGTGCTTGGGCAGCTTCCATCCAGAACACTTTTTTGTCTGTTCACTCAGTCAAACACTCATTTACTCATTCCTACTCAGTCTGTTCAGCACAGGATTTAAGGCAGTTTACAACAGCAACACACACACACACACACACACACACACTCTCTTAAAAATGAAACCTCAGGACCAGGAAATTTGTAAGATACATCTTAGTATGAAAAATAAAAACACAACCATGAGAGGTCAAATGTCAGTATAAGAAACCCCAAATGACTTGTTTTAAGCAAATGCAAAAGTAGATGCTCAATACATATACTTAACTCTTTCTGGGCCTGAAATAAGAGGCTGTAGCCAGGAACATTTTGTGTTCTACACAGATTCTGTTTGCAATGTTATTTACTCTAACAGGATGCTTGGCATTAAAATGCTTGCTGGCAATTTCAGATTTAGAATGCAGAGTAGGTTAACAAATAAAGTCCTACGGTCCACGTATGCCACAGCTGACTACACAACATCACAGGATCAACTGATCCTGAACTGCTCTATGTAAGTGAAAAAGACTAGTGCTCTGTGAGTGAAATGAGGCTCTGTCAGGCCACAAATGTAGAATGTTGATATATTTACCTGATCCAAGATGCTTTAAGTTTTCCTCAAATGCAGTTGAGAATTATTTGCGTATTACAAATTAATATTGACAACACATTGAGGATTTAATAAAACATTTCTAGGGTAAAACAAATCAATTTCTTCTTTCTCCAGTATTGCCATCTTGCCTCTTCCCAAAAGTATTGTAGTTTTAATCCACTTTACCTATAATCCGAACCCCTATGCTTTACACTTCCATGATTTAAAAATTAAAAAGTCAACATCTCTTTTTTCCTGAAATGACGTACCTTCAGTCATGCAGAACACTCGGAGAAAAGCCAAGAGCTGAGCAGAGATGGGCGGCTCCGTAAAATGCAATGCAAAAACGCTGGAACTGACAAAGCAGAAAGCAGCATCAGTCACCCTGCTGCGGCTACCCACCTGCTCCAAAGTGAGATCCCTACAGTCTACAGCACGTGTGGCTGTCCTCAAGGAGAGCCAAGCTGGAAGATCCCAGCTCCTCATCTGAACTGTGAGCATGATTTTCAGCCCTTGCAAAAGGCCACAGGCTGGGGCGGATGGAAGCGGACATCCAGAATTGGAGTCCATCCTCGCCAGCTTTTCCGAGAGCCTGACAGCTGTAATCTCGGGTTGCACACAACACATTCAAAACATTAAACGTACACATGGTTTTTTAAAAGTGTTAACAATAATTTATGTTGAGTTCACACTTTAAATCATTAATCAAATATTGACAAGTTCAATAAAAAAAGGTCTGGATAATCCATTTTCATTAAGAATGGTTCCTCCATTCCCTGGAGAACTAATGAATCATAATTCCTGTCTTCTTTATCATTTTATGCCTCAAATGCAAGAAAATCTTAAGGAATTTAACTAGAAATTCTTGAAATCACTGAGGATCATGACTTCATTACAGAAACTAATGGTAGCAAAGAATTAAATGAAACAAATTGATCCAGGCCATTAACCTTTTCAAGGTGAAAGACATGAACGATACGAAAGTACTTATTTAACTTAATGAGGATTTCAGGCCATATCCCTCAGAACTGACTGTGAATGCGCCCAACGACACAATTATGTTTATCTGAAAACGCTGGTAAGTCACCGAGCGTCGCCATGGCTTAAATTTGCTGTGCCACAGGGATAAACGGATTAAGACAAACTACTGGAGAGAAGTTTTATTAACACACCAATTAAACACTATGCAACTGGAAATAGTTCAAGCACTGCAGGAAAGGGCCAACCGATGGTTTTCTACGTACGTGGGGATGCCGGCACGAGCCAAGACCTCGGCCTTCATGGCGTAGAGTCTGTCACTTTTACTCACTCCAAGCTTTATTTTCACTCTGTCATGGGAGTTATTGTCAAAGAAAAAACCACTGTGGATCACAAACTCTGCATTGGATCGAGTGCCATAAAAAATGTAAATCTGAGATGCAGTAAAGAAAAAAGAAAAGGGCATGAGACAAACTTGGCGTGTATTCTTAACACAGGGCAGGGCAAAGGCTTAGTGCTCATATATTTAACGCTACTTTACATTAATGACACAAAATAGCTGAAAGTATTGATACACCTGTTTGGCACAGGTTGCAAGGGTGACGCCATGCAATTTTCCCAACTTCCCAAACCGTCTGAGACCAAGCACCCACTTCCACCACCGCGTGGAGAGGCGAGACCAGGAGAAAGCACCACCAAAGGCCTTACTACTACTCAAAGGACCCCAGGTGCCTGGGGTCACCAGGCCTCTATTATAATCCTCTTCTTTCAAAGGACAGCAAGGCTATTTCTGGAAGACTGCATTTTAAAATTCACCAAGTTCTTCCCATCCTTTTAATACAGCAGGGTCTTTTCTGGAACTGTAAAGCAGTATCTGTCAGAAACTTATTTCTAGATCCTGTGGCAATTAATCCTGCACCTAGCAGGTGGGTTTATAAACTTTTCTAAAGAAGGAACAGATCAGTACTTTGCTAGACAAATATTTTTCATTTTGTCTCAACTGGAATGTCAATTACGGATGTGAGTTCCATGTCTGTACTGTCTGCTTGGGTGTAGACTGATAGAATGTGGGAATTTATAGACACATATTTTCAAACTCACCCAAAGGCTTACCCCTCCTCCCACCCAAACTACTAGATTAAAAAATCTGAGATTAAAGTGAAAGTATAAGACAACAGATTCCCTTGCTTTTGCCCCTTAAATACTCTTATAAAGAAGGTTCTAATCAGTAGAAAAAATAAAGGCAACACAGTTTATGAAATTTTAAAAATTGTTTTAGTGTCATAACACACTTTATTTTTAGTTAACAGTGTTATAAATATTTGCAAATATTAGGCCAATTGTGCCAATAACTGTGTTTAAATACTTTTCTCTGTGGACCCAAAGCACAATGCAAAGCACAACAAGTGAGTGAAGCACAAGTGAACATGTGTACTACGGGTTCAGGTCTCAAGATGCGTTCCAGAAAAACAATCCTCAATTTGAATTCCACATTTTTTTCCCTAAGTTCCTTTTTAAGACTACCAACACAGTGTTAACTTAGTGCCCAATGGCTGGTTCACATTTTGTGAGATGCCACGAGACCCACCTGCTCTCCAGCCCGGAAATCCTGCAGAGCCACACACTCACAGCGGTCATCTTCCAGGTTGTAACCGGTAGTGATCTAGCCCCGGGAGAAGGAAGGAAATGATGGTGAGGCAAACACGTGCACATTTCACTTAATCATGAACTGGTTTCTGGCAAACACATGCACATTTCACTTAATCATGAACTTGTTTCTGGCAATCAGAGGAGAAAGGGGATCCAAAGGTACCCAAAAGGGTGCATCTGAGTGCTTTGGAACAAAGAACTGCTTGAGCACTGAGGTTAACTCTAGTTACATCAGAGATGATTATGCAAAATTACACACCTGAAATAAAGGAAGTACGGTTGGATAAAGAGACTGTACAGAGTATCACTTGCTGGACTCAACAAAACACAATTGCCTCTGGGCCTCCCTGGCAGCAGTGAGGGCAGTAAGCCCACAGGCCACGCCTCCCACAGGCGCACCTAAGCCTCCTTTCAGTTCACTGATGACCTGCACTACCCTCATTTGTTTGCAAGTATTATCTTTATGTAATGTTTGGCCATTAAGAAACCAAAGTGGGTTTTCCATTAGATAAAGAATCAGGGAAAACAAAAGCTCTATTTCTGAATTATGGATATATGATCTGAATTAAAGAAATTAAAACTTTCAAGCATGCAAAGGCAAAATAACTTTGTTGTTTCTCATTCCCTCTATTTCCGCTGAGAAATATAATGTGAGAGTTTCTAGGTCCATTAGAAATAAATATAGAAAACCCTCTCACTACACCCCAAAACTGCGTCTCCTTCTAAGCTCTCCTATCTTAGTGAAGGTCAGCCAATGTCATGGCCTCTGGACACAAGTTACAAGGAAACCCTCACATCTCACCTGGTCAGCATTTCATCTAGTAAATACTACCATTTGGATGACTTTCTTCCTCATTCCTCTGCGTGGCTACAGTCCTTATTCCTTCTCGCCTAGCTTGTTTTTTGCAAAAACCTTCCAACTTTTGGGACCTAGTCTCAAAATCCAATACTGTCCTTCCGGAGTTGCTAATTGTACGATGTCACTCTCCTGTTCAAAATCTTCCTATGATTCTGCTCTGCCTTCGGAATAAACCTCAAGTTCCTGAGCACGGCCGAATACGGAGGCAGCTCACGCTTCCCTCCAGCTTCAGGAACTGCCACCCACCTGCCGCCCCAGTTCCCTCCGGCCTGACAGTTCCTTCTACTCCTGTTGTGGCCTGGCTTCTCGGGGAATCCCTCCTCACCCCACCCTCCTGCGCACTCCCACAGCCCAGTCCTTACACCCTCCAGCCCAAGTCACGTCATCTGTGCACCTGTCTCCCCGTCAGTCAGACTTGAAAGCCAGAGCCCCTTGTTGATCTCTGTGTCTCGAGTGCTCAGCACACAGAACCTAAAACCTGAAGTGGCCTTTGGGAATATTCACGTGATGCATGAACCCCCAGGGGAATGGAAAGGGTCCCCAGCTTCTATTGAAAGCTCCTTCTCAGAGTCCTGTCTTTTAGAGCAGCGCCCAATCTCTTAGATTGTCTCCTGATGGTCACTGATTACTTTTTGACCTACTCATTTTTTTTTTTTTTTTAAGAATGTTTTTTTTTTTTTTTTTTTTGAGACAGAGTCTCGCTCTGTTGCCCAGGCTGGAGTGCAGTGGCCAGATCTCAGCTCACTGCAAGCTCCGCCTCCCGCCATTCTCCTGCCTCAGCCTCCGAGTAGCTGGGACTACAGGTGCCCGCCACCTCGCCTGGCTAGTTTTTTGTATTTTTTTTTTAGTAGAGACGGGGTTTCACCGTGTTAGCCAGGATGGTCTCGGCCTCCCAAAGTGCTGAGATTACAGGCTTGAGCCATTGCGCCCGGCCTGACCTACTCATTTTATCCTGGAGAATCAAAGACTCACAGCAGCCACAAGCACTCCTTGCTAATAAGGCATCAACAGCTTGGATTCAAAAGATGACTTTTGAGTCTAGGGAATGGCATTTTGGGATGGAAGGCCATATAACACGAATCTTTAAACTCAATATCCCAAGAATAAATATGGTTTATTAACCTTATGTCTAAGAGTCCTTCAAGGTTCTGATCTGCAAAGACCAATGAGAAATAGGCAGCAATGAGAAATAAATGAAGCCAAGTATTCTAGAACATTTCACTCGCAGAACATTTTAAACACTTCAATTGTATTCAAATCAACTCCAGGAAGTTCCTGCCCAACACTGGATGTACTTTTCTGACCCCAAAACATCACCTTGACAACAAAGTGGAATGAGAAACTGCCCATATGGGAAACTCCCAGGAGGGAATCCAGGCACTCCAGGGTGCTGGCGGTACAGGTACACAGGGACCTGCCAGCAGCACAAACAGGAGGAAAGTTAGAGGAAGGAAGAGAAAATTGAGGGAGATTGTGGAGAAAGGATTATGGGTGTTTAAGGGTATTTTACAGATTATTTCCCACTCTCGGCAGACGTCAAGCTCCAAGATATGGCTTAACATGTACACAGCAACCCTGACAGGCAAACAGGCTGGATCCCGCCCCAGTCTGTAGCCCTTTCTCGGCAAGGGTCAGAACGTTTGGAGGCTGAGTGTCTAACTGCTTTGCGTGGCACTGCCAAACACTTCCTCTAGGATGGTATCAAAGCGTGTCTCAGTGCAAAGAACTGCAGGCGGAAGCACAGGCCTCGCCTTTCCTTTGCGTGAAGCCAGGTTTCTAGAGGACTCTCTCAGAGCAGAGCCCTCCCAGGGCGGGCCTGCAGAGGGGTCTTCCAAGGCTGTTAGGACCCCACTGCTCAGCAAGGGCCTTCTGGCAGGAGCCCCAGGAACTTACCACCTACGCCCAGAAATCTGCAGCCACTGACCAGGTCTGACTTGAAGCCCAGACTAGGAAGGGAGGGTTTGGGAGGGCCAGGGCTGGTGCAGGGGCAGCCTCCTGACGTCAAGCAAGGACAGGGTCCTTCCACCTCCTCCTTGCCCAGCTCCACGTGCCGCTTCCTGCCTCCCACACTGCCAGCTAACTTCCCTCCTACAAATATTGAGTGTCATCCTATGCCAGGCCCTAACCTAGGCAACTGGAAAATGGCATGAAAAATCTCAGTCCCTACCCATAGGGACATCTAGTGGGAAAGAGACATAGGGAGAAAAAAAATTTATATATATACGTATATATAAAAGCACGTGGAACTGAGAATAGCCCCACAGGAGCCTCAAGTGTGCCCAGGGGAGGTGAGCGGGTGGCAGCCGGAGTTTGTTGGCAATGCTGGAGGAGGAACCCAGCAGGGAGTGGAAGCCTCCAGCAGCTCCACGGAGCCCTACTCCCTGAAAGCCACCTCCTGCCTGCGGCGCACACCACTCACGTCTGTGGCTGGTTTGGTAACTCGACGGCACACTTGGTGCACAGCTGTATTCTATTTTACATATTAAAAGTAACATAGGAGGAGGAGCATGATATACACACACATACATTCCTAAGATGGGAACAGAGGGAAGATCTGTAGATCATTTACATTTTCTTTTCTGTGTTTTTCAAATTTTCTTCAACAAATATGTATTATATTGATTTCATGGTGGAAGGGGGAAAAAGTAATACAGGGTCATCAAATAAAATTTGGAAAATATTTTTAAAAAACAAAGAAAAAACAGATCACAATCACGTTAACATTTTGGTTTATTTCTTTCTGATCTTTTTGCCTAGGCGTGGGGTTTTCACACTCATTTATTCACCACTCATGAATTCATTAAAAAAATACCAGGCACAGGGATATAGCAACGAACAAAACAGACCCTCCCCCAAAATCACCTGCGTTCATGGCTCTTCCATTCTAATGGGAGGCAGGGGGTGAACCAACAATAGTTTGTTTAAAAGGCAGAAACAGAGGATCTGGACAACAGAGGGAAACGTAACAGGACAGGGCAGCCAGGTGGGTGGGCTGGAGGCGCAGTCGTTCTACACAGGGTGCTCAGGGCAGCCACGCTACAGGAGGTCTACGAGCGAGTCCCATAAGTGCCTAAGGAATGGGGGGTTTTAGGCAGAAGTGACAGCAAGAGCGAAGGAATCTGCTGGTGTCTGAGGAACAGCGGGGAACCAGAGGTGAGTCAGACCTGTGTGCACGGAGGGTGTGGGGGGAGAGGCTGTTGGGAGAGACTTGTCTGCTATTGTAAAAATGGACTTTTGAGACTGACTGTCAGACTCATCTAAATCTAAATGTTTTAGATTTTCTTTTCAATATACAAACAGAAGGACCTTGAAAAAGAACTTCCCTCCGTTGTGCTTGGATTTCCAGCTGCCCTTTCATCCCTCCTGGTAGAGTCGCAGATCCAAATGCAAGCACTGATTATTCCAACACACTCTCTGTAAGGGAACTAATACCACTGTCTATCAGTCACTTAGGAGTGTCCTTCTCATATCAACCGAAAAACCCTCAACAAAGGAAACCTGCTGCTTACATTAAGTTTGAACAAATCATGCAAGATATAAAGATACGTTGTTTCTTCCAGCTTAGTACCATACCTTATAACCCTTTCTACATTTATTTCTCTGAGTGGCTAGGAAATTAGTTCATATTCACCAGAATCTCTAGCCTAGGTGTTCATCCAGCCCCTTACTTTCTTTAGCATTTCCTTGCTGTCACTGGTTTGGAATTACTGTTACTGACTTGATTCTTCTGTTTCTACTACCATAATCAGGTTTTTGGGATATTGTTAGAAGCAGACAGCGTTGCTGGGTTACAAATTCTACCTACTCCCTGAGTGACAGTCAGGGTAGACTGACAATAAGAAGATGATCGTCAGGATAGACGCACACAAAAAAGAAAATCTCTTGTCTTAAAAGGCGAGCCTTGATTTCAAGACTTTATTTTTAAAAAGACATTAACTGTAACACATATCATATACAACTCTGTAGCGTTAAAATAGAATTTCTCAAATTCTACCCCAGAAAATTTCCCATGAAGTCTTATAATTACAATGGGAAACAGTTCAACAAGAGTGCAGAGTGCAGAATGTCAGGAACATAACCACTGTAAGACAAAGTGCCAGCATCCTGAATAAACCTTCTACAGGTTAGCACTGTTTCTGCCAGGACTGTGGCAGGTTAAAAAGTACGTAAGTCGTATTAGGGAAAATACAGCATTGGTTGTCATTAATTTATTACTTTTATTTTGAGATAAACCAGAGACTTTTTTTTTTTTTTTTTTTTTTTAACATTTGGTAGGGGAAAAGGAATTGTTTTATCCCATTTACATGGAAGCCAAATAAAAATCAATGTGCAGACGAGTGTGTGAGGTGCCAATGGATGGAAGCTTTGCTAGGGACCACGGTGGCCTGGTGGTGGTCTCAGTGCCACCAGGTGGGCCATGAGGCTGGGGGTAGGGCACTGCTCACCTTACTACAGAGGCTCCTGTGTTAATTCTTTTTGTTTAGAGTAAAACCAAGCATTATTGCTTTAATTTTATTAAAAAGAACTCTAATAATCAATTGAGTTTGAGAAAAAAATGATCCAATTCAAAAAAAGAAAAAGAAAAATACTACAGTCAGGTATTAAAAGCTATTTGAAGATTTTTTAAATTTCAAGCTTATGATCAATTAAAAATACCTCTGAAGAAAAAGAAAACAAAAAATGTAAAAGTATATTCAATGAAAATAAGTTATAAAACACGCTATTATGTCTTAGTATTTATTACTAATTAAATTAAGCATATCTAAAGGCAAAAATGTAATTACAAAAGTGGAACTATTCTTTCTTGCCACAATTTAAATACTTTTAAGATTCAAGAGCATACTTGTTGCTAGACCTTCCCAAATTAGCACTAGGATATTCTGCCTTCAGTGTCTGGCGCACACTACGTGTGTTCTGGCCATTCTGGGGAATTCAATGTGAAATAATCATTCACGGCATTTCTTTATTCTATTTATAATACTGCTAATCACAAGGAAAGCTGACAGAGAAAAGATGAACATAAAACCTAATCAAACCAGTATACTAGTATAAAGTATGATATTTCAAAATGATCCGAAATGTATCATATTTCTGCCTACTAATATCAGGACATCTTTATCAGACAACTCTCTCACAGAGCACAGAGCGCTTCACCCATGCTGCTGCCTGGAATCCAAAGAATGTGGAGAAACACAGCCAGCCTCCTCCTCTTCCCAGCTGTGGGAAACCGTAATAATACAATTTCCTCCTCCCCAGGCTTCCCAGGTGTGATGATGCCAGCTGACTCCTGCATTCAAGGGCAAGGAGCCGAAGGCACCAGCCCCTCCTCCCACCCCACAGGCCCTGTAACAAAAACAGGTTCATAAACATGGTCAGGGGAAGGGACAGGGATGAGAAAGAATCAAAAGTACAGAACTGGAAACAAGACAGTCAGCAAAGAAGACACAAAAGGAAAAATGAGAAATACGATTTTTTCCCCCAATAAATGAGCATTTTAAAGAGAATAAGTAAAAAGAAACTTTGGTTTAGTCTGTAGTACCATAAGATAAGAAAATGAATGCTGAGGCTGGAATTATGGCTTAGCAAATACACGTAGTTCACTGCGGCTTTTGAAAATGGTATAAGATTCAAGCTCCCAGTTTTCCGTATTAGTCAATGCAGTAAAAGAAAAATACCAGCTTCTATTTGTGGGTGGTGGGGAGGAGTGGCCGGTTTGGTTTTGTTTGTTCCTTTTGAAGGGAGGCAGCAGGGGGGAGTACGATGGGTAGGTGGAATAACAGCCCCCTCCCAAAGCTTAGCAACAACAGCCTCCCAGATTCAACACAACACAGGAGAAGAGGTCGTTACCAGGCCGTTGGTGTGGTTACACATGTCCCATAAAGGAATCAGAGCCAGGGTCACCCGGGAACCATCCTCTGTGGGAATTTGGTTTTGCCTCGTCATAACAGAAGAGACTGCCCACCTATAACAAGACAAATGGTGATTTAAGGTTGGAACATTTAAAAGCCAATTGCAGTAAGAAATAACATAACCAAAAATTTAGGTCTGACCTCTTACAAACGTACAAAGTCTTTTCCTAAGTAACAAAGGTGATGTTTGGTCTTCATCATCATTTAAAAACAAACCCAGGGTTTTAAAAAGAGCCAGGGGAAATGCAGGACTGAGTGCTTAAGGGAGACTGTTCCCAAGAGGCAGAGCCGGAAAGAGGGCTTTGCGCAGGGCTCAGGCCCCTTCCTGGGTCTTCATGACTCACAAAACCTACTCCCCTACACCCCCCAACCCAACCCGCTTTTGCCCAAATGCTGACTCTGCACCTATTTTAAGCCTCATTGAAAAGCAAACCATAAAACTCCTTTCTGATCAGAAATCCTCTATGAATTGTAAGAAATGTAAAACGTGACTTTTTTATTACACTGTGCAGTGAATTAAATCTCTCCGTTCAAAAAAAGTCCCCATTTTACACTAACAGAGTCTTTTTTAAATAAGAAAAGAAAAATCCATAGGACCACCCTACACTAATGTTAATCTCAAGTAGCATTTGGCTACCTCAGCTAATCCCCTGCCATGACAGGTTAATGGCAATTTCTACGTGGCTATGAAAATGCCGATACTCATCCAAGCTGCTCATGATAACTTCTGAAAGAGGAGCTCTGTTCGGATGCTTTAATGGTCACAGCAGGTCACTTCTCACTGAAGCCTTTCCCTCCCTTCCAGGATCCCACTTCACTGAGAAACCACCCCCAACACACAGGCACACACACAGCCCACACCAACCTGTAGTCTTCATAAGTGAAAGAATCCTTCAAGGGCAGTTTGTTGGCATGAGGATGGGTCTGGGAATTAGAAGTTTTAGAAAGCAGAGGTGAAAAGAGAAAAAGGGAAAACAGAAATCAGTCAGCGGAATTTCATTATTTAGCTGCCTAACAGATCCTAACAAGAGCCAAATGAAGCAGGCGGCGTCCAGCCGCGCTACAGAGGGATCATCGCGCTGTTATGCTCTCATACATCACTGTCAACTTAATTTGTTGTGCCCAGCAGCCGCCATAAATCTGCTTCTTCATATTTCGATACTAGCACCCACGGACACCGCACAAAACACAATTTAAGGTGGACCGACTTTACAAAAGGCAGGCACACCCACGCGATGAGCACTGGATTTAAGCAGAAACGCGAAGCCGCCCAAGCCAAGTCCGTCCTGGCCCCGCTCTGTACCTCATGCCATGATGTACCACACAGGCCTTCTGAGAGGGTTCAAATCCCATGTCAACAAAAGGAACAATTAAAGGCACGCTAATCAGTTGGAAGCTCTTTCATTTCTCTCTGACTTAAGTCATTTGATGGGAATCAACTTGGTGTTTGCACAGGAATCATATACACGGCAAATGCGGATCAAGCACGGAAAATCAGGAGAAGTGCAGGTTTGTGAGATTATAAAATAAACTTCACAAACACACAGGATAACGACAACAGATCAGCATATTTAAATTTTACTTTTTTCCTGGACAAGAGAATATTTGGTAAAAATACTAAAACTTCACTTTTAAGAGAAATTATATAGATTTCATATTCTCTCTTTACCATGTCCCCCACCTTAGGCCTTTCAAGCACTTAAAAACTTTGTCTCAATTAAGAAATTAAAAGCTGTAACAGTATAATTTTAATCTTCAGTTTCAATTACAGTCTGATAGATTGTAGTAAGTGATCAAACGAACAAATGGTTATTTCTGAGATACAAATGAAATCCTGCTGAAGCCGGGTCTCCACACCACTGTTAATGCAGGAAGCTCCATGTAGCCTGCAGTTTTCACTCCTGATGCATTGGCATCACAAGTGCACTGTAATTTATCATCGCTCACTGTAATGTACTCGCTGGCACCCTACACAGGACAGTAGGGGATGAGGTAAAAGTAGCTAAAACCGTAAATCAATTAGAAAACAAAAGCTTGTGCTCAGTGCACAATTTAGGCAATTTATGTATTACAAAAGGCTGCCATGGGTGGTGTAGCTACCAGGTGCCCATCTCTCCCCCTGAGTTTTTAGCCCAGTTTTAACCTTGGAGAAATGTTCAAAATATAAAAATATATTCACATAATTATTATTTTTTGAATGGGTCTGCTCTGTTCGCCCAGACCTGGGAGTTTGCAAGTTGGCCGCCATCTCAGCTCACGCAACCTCAGCTCCTCGGGGTTCAGAATGGAATTCCTGCCTCAAGGCCTCCGGGGGAAAGTGCTGAACTATAAGCGGCTGTGGCCACACACAGCTAATTGTGTGGTGTGTGTTGTGTGGTGTGTGTTTTCGTAAAGGACGAGTGTCGACCATATTGGTCAAGGGCTGGCTCGTCGACATCCTGACCTTCGTGATCCCTCCCCGCCTGCAATTCCAAGAGCTGAGATTACAGGCATGAGCCCACCCATTGCCAAGCCGGGCCGTATCACATTAATTTTAAATGGTTGTTCTGTGATAAAAAATGAGAATTAAATACAGGCATATTTGAAGGCAACATATAAGGAAAATAAATACTGTCCAGGGGCATTTCTTAGCTGACTACCAGGAAGGATGGGAAATCCTACGGCCGGGAGGGGGGCTGGGAGGATCAGCCAACTTTGGTGAAGACAGGTTGAGAATCGCTACAGGTGAAGTTCTCACTCCTTTGCTTTTTTTTTTTTTAAATTTTTTTTTATTTATATACTTTTAAGTTCTGAGGTACATGTGCATAACGTGCAGGTTGTGTACATGGTAGTGTATACCTTGTGCCATGTGTGGTGCTGGACCCATCAACTCGTCCAGGACCCATCAGACTCAGTCATTTACCATTCAGGTATAACTCCTCAATGCAATTCCTCCTCCCTCCCCCTCCCATGATAGCCCCAGTGTGTGATGTTCCCCTTCCGAGGACAAGCATGGCAAGACTTCATGTCTAAAAACACCAAAAGCAACAGCAGCAAAAAGCCAAAATTGACCATGGATCTAATTAAACTAAAGAGGCTTCTGCACAGCAAAGAAACTACCATCAGACGTGAAACAGGCAACCTACAGAATGGGAAGAAAATTTTTGCAATCTACTCATCTGACAAAGGGCTAATATCCAGAACCTACAAGAACTCAAACAAATTACAAGAAAAAACAACCAACCCCATCAAAAGTGGGCAAGACGGATATGAACAGACATGTCTAAAAAGAAGACATTCATACAGCAACAGACACATGAAAATGCTCATCATCACTGCCATTCAGAGAAATGCAAATCAAAACCACAAATGAGATACCATCTCACACCAGGTTAGAATGGCGATCATTAAAAAGTCAGGAACAAACAGGTCGCGAGAGGATGTGGAGGAAATAGGAAACACTTTACACTGTTGGTGGGATTGTAAACTAGTTCAAACCATTATGGAGAAGGCGATTTCTCAAAGATCTAGAACAGATGTACCGTATGACCCAGGCCATCCCTTACTGGTATATACCCAAGGATTATTAAAATCCCTTTTTTTCTTGTAATAGGGAAATGCAAGGTTATGTTCTAAGAGTCCTAAAAATGTTTTCAATTTAATTATTAAACTTAACCACATCAGTGTTCAGGTCTTTCCTTACTAAAGAACAAATTGGTATATAAGAACTACCCTTCCCCAAAAAACTAACTTGATCACAAGAAATACCACAAAAAAACTTCAAAAGTGTAAAGAAAAGGAATTCCATTGCTAAAATTTCCTTTCACTTACAATAAAATGAAACTTCGCATTACCCGATCAACTGGGAACTTTGCACATCCTGCCTGTTTTCATACTCTAGGAAATGGGAAAGTGTCGTTTTTGTTATTTTTACAAATTTTAATTCATTTAAACTGTAGAATTAAACTGTAGGAAGTTAGTAAGTTCCATTGCTAAATCTCTATGTCTAAAAATTTGAAACCCCCACTAAGAAGTTTGACTTATGAAACAGCAGAAAAGATGACAATATTCAAAACTGGAATGCTAAATCTCGAAATGCTAAATCTAAAAATAACTTGAAGTGTCTTCTAACTCTCAAACATCTTTAAGTAGCCTTGGACCCTACACGACTATCCAAACATGGGTGATCTCTGTCAAGAGACGGAAAATTAACTCTTCAAAATGTTTCTCTTCCTGCTATTCATACACACTTCTTACCCAACACATAAGCCCATGCTCACAGTCAGGATGAAATCATTTAAATAAAAAAAAAGACTCAAGAAAAAAATGTGTCAATGCATTCTTCAGTTAATTCTGAAGATCATTTTGGCTGCATGGTTACATAATATTTGCAGAATCTGTTAGAAATAGTTGTTCTTATCTTCTTAAGAAATAGGGTGTACACAGTGTACATAATTCTGGTTAAAAAAAAGATTCTGCCACTGACACACGCACTTAACAGTGACACTGAAGCAAAATGTGACACTAAGGGAGAAAGGAAATAACTTTCCACAGAGCTCTCACTACTGTGACACTACCGCCACCTACTGGCATCTTGGGAGAGTAGACTACAGTCACAGAGTTCTTGGTATTTCCCAGGGCAAGGCCTTTAAAGCAACTTACTGTAAACCAAAACTGGGCTTATCAAAAACAGCTACGACTTCAGCTTTACCCAAGTAAAATTTGGTTTCTAAAAAGAAAAATCTCTGCTACCTCTAAAAACTATTATATAATAGTTTTATAAGAATCTTGAGACATTCAAATGTCAAAAATATTCATATGTAAAAAATATTTAATTTTGAAAATAAATGCTTTTACTTATTCTGAAGAAGTGAACAAGGATAAAACAAATGTCCATCCCAAATAATTTTCATTTAAGCTCAGACAATGACTGTATTAAAAAAACAAACAAACAAACAAACAAAAAAAAACTTTTTCCCTGTTAAAGACCAAGTTAAAACACATCTTCCAAAAATTATTAACCTGAAATTACTGGAAAGTTCCTAAAATATCCTTAGATGAAAATATTTAAGCTTATACATTATACAGAGGATAACTGAGCGTTCCTCACTTACTGAAGCAAAGTGGTGCTTATATAGGTTTTGTTGATCACAATAGCCTTTTCAATAGAAGATATTCCTAGCTTGCACTTTAAAAATAAAAATGTAGAATTAAAACAGAAAACATACTCTCTGCAGCCAATTGGTTTTAGCTTCCAAACCAATTGTAACTGTAGATTCCAAAGACACAGACACACATGGGATGCGTGAGGAGGGTCCCTGAGAAGCTTCTGCCTGCCACTGTCAGAAATAGGACAGTGAGAGGGCCTGTCAGGCACGGGGGCCCAACAGCAGCAGGCGACGGGGTCTCCTGAAGCGGTACCTCCTCTCAGCCCACACCTCCCAATAAATACAGGCAGATAAACTAGCCATGGATTTTCTCCAGAATTTTTAAGTGATTAATATTTTTACTTTCTTGAGCACAATAAACACATGAAGATGGAGAAATGAACCATTGCCGTGGCTCATAATCAGGCCTGAAGCATACAGAGCCAGGCAACCCAGGGACGCACTCTTCCCCTTCCCTCTTCCAGCAAAAGGAGGCATTCCATGTGAGACACAGTAATATTGTACCGAGTACAAAATAATCACTATGTTTGGGAAAGATTAATATCTAAAATTGTTTGTTTGGCTTCAATAAAAAAGAGCAATATTGCTAAATATGTAAGTATGACATTTTGAAGAATTTACCATATTGCATGGGTCTGGTAGCTATGCTTAAGGAAATTAAAAACCACTACAGTCAGCATATTTGATCCTTATTAAAGTTCTGTCTTGAACTACCACTCACATAAAACAAAAATAAACCAAGAAGAAATTTAAATAAAACCTATGGATTATAAGTGT